CCTTCTGATCTGATGGCAAGAGCTCAAACGTACTCTCACTATAAAAGCCATAACACTGCAAAGTTTTTGATTGGCGTAGCGCCACAGGGTGTCATTACATTTATTTCGCATGCATGGGGCGGGAGAGCCTCAGACAAGTTCATCACAGAGCACTGCGGTCTGCTTAGTCACCTAAATCCGGGTGACCAGGTGCTGGCTGACCGTGGTTTCACTGTTGAAGACAGCGTTGGCATGTTCTGCGCAGAGTTGGTGATGCCCCCATTTACGAAGGGGAAGAAGCAACTCTCCAGGCTGAAATTGGACAGTGCTCGACAAGTGTCACGCGTCCGTATCCATGTGGAGCGAGTGATTGGAATGCTTCGCCAGAAATACACGATCCTCTCTGGCACTTTGCCCATTGCTTTCCTCATGCATGACGATAAAGCTACATCATGTGCATTCATTGACAAGGTTGTCACCGTCTGCTGTGCTCTGTGCAACTGTTGTGAGTCCGTGGTACCTTTCGAGTAAATTACATCATGCCGCTTTGTCAGCTGTAATGATTGCTACATTATTATTATTATTATATTATTATTCAAATTTATTATTAACCCCTTGTGCTTTTTGGACTGTCTGGATATACCGGCAATTATATTTCTGTTTTACCTATTCTGCAGTTGCATGCGCATGTGTTCACCTCATTGACCTCGCTTGTTTCTAGTTTCTTTTGTCTGGCTAGCCAAGCTTGCTTGGTCATGGCAACGCCAACAGACTTATAATAATAGTAATAATAATGGCTTCTATCATCACTCACGACATGCCTCCGTTTCTTGTTGCATCAATATAATGACTCGTGGTCCAAATAGGGACAACACAATATAATAATTATGAATAGCCCTGAAACCCAACTTAGGGTGCTGGGTAGTGCGCGATGTACCATCAGATGTAGTATGCCCAGCACCAAAGAACAACTCAACTTATGCCAACATCACCCGGAAGAGACGTAAAGAGCGAAGTGTTTGATGTGTAATGATGGAGTTCCTCTGCTCACATGCATAAGCAGTGAGTGGTCTTCACGCATGTCCTGGGACCCACAAGTACGAATCAGCATTATGGTCCTTCAGAGATACATGCAAGCAAAGAAATACAAGAAAGGTAACGGAAATCGTTGTGAAAGCCCAGCCACCGATTGTATGCACACGCGTGGCAAGTGCAACAGCAAGTACCGTGGAAGGCACAGCAGAACAAGTTGAAAATGCAACTCTAGAAATACCAGAATAGCAGGCTCCATGAATATAATCACTTCTCAAATGCTTGAGACTTGGATTTACAAATGCTACGACAAAAATGACTATGTACATGGAAAGTTGGTTGCACCCCATACTAGAGGTCGAGCTTTTCTGCCGCCTTGACTGGACATTTGACTGACTCACGACTGCCATTCAGAAACTTGACAAACTCACGACTTCCATCCAGACACTTGACTGACTCACAACTGCCATCTAGAGCAGAGAAGAAGTCCCTCGAGCCCTCCTTCCGGCAAACCTGCAAGAAAGCACCACTCCCTGCTCAATACACAGTGTTTCAGGGAATTCACCCCTCATGCAGTTGAGCTTGAGTAGGCTGACGAACGTTGTGCTTAGCGACCAACATTCCTATAAACTTGTCGCCGAAGTCGCTACCACTGTAATTGTATATGCATATCATTATTTAGTGGCAGATTTAATCTTGCGACACTCCGGGCAGGTCCAGTTCTTGCGCTTTGGCTTACTCTTCAGCTGCAAACAAGCCATGTGGAACAAACGAATACTGCAATCGTTGTTGGAACATCGCAGTACCTCGCCAGCCTTCACAGACTTGCAGTAGCAAAACTCCGGAGGGCGTTCTTGATCCGCAGTAGATGTTGTACTGGCAGCACCAAGTGGTTCCGAGGCTGATGTAGCCGCTGAAGACGCATCGGCAGGAAGAGTGGAGAACGTCTTAGTGAACCATTTCCCAACAAGCTCTGGGAGAACAGCACACTGGAAGAATTTCTTGGCACCTGCTACCGCTTCACGGATGAAATCTGTGTCTGCACAGATACGCTCCACAAACAGCTGACCTTCATTCCACACAACAAAGTCACAGTACTGCACCTTACACACCAGCATCTGTAGCTGTACTTGGTAGTAGTACATGTGGTCTTGCTTAAGATGGAGTGCTCCGCCGGACTTTACTAGACAGAACTTCCCTGAATCGGCAGCATCATGCAGGCTACTGTCTCGGCACCCGTACGGGCACTTCACTTCCACCACGCCGTTGCCACAGCAGGAGCACTGCACAAGGGAGTCGGGAGTAGCGCCAAGATATGGATAGTCTGGATGAATTACAAAGCCACTGGGCAGTACTTCAACCTTCTGATGTGTTGCACTGGCATGTTCACTATAGTTGTCAATTGCCTTCTGCTCGTGATCACATCCCCATTGTGTGGCTTTGCTACAGAACTTGTGTGCCTCAGGGTAACACACAGAGCGGACTAAGGACGCAGAGGGCTGGCTAATATCCGTGCGAACAGCAGACTTCAACTTTGAAGCTGTGATCCGGCCGGCGCGAAATTCAAACCAGGCCTTGGAATCTGCCTGGTTCCGCGTAGCCTGTTCCACAGCGCGTGCTTCCTCCTCTGAAACACAGACCGCTGGAAATACTGCCTCGCAACGAACGAGCAGGTCCCCAAAACTAGCATCCAGCATGTCTGGTTCGTACAATAAATCCAAAATGGGTGGATATCCCTCGGGCTTGGAAGGTACGTACCTATCGCAGAACCCGGGAACAAGGGAGAGTAATGACGGTTTACCGGCTTGACATAAATTTCCATATAGTTCACCCAGCTCAGCACTGGAGGGTTGCTTAATATCAGCAGGGACCTTCTCCTCCGACCTACGGCGCTTGCTCCCATGCTGTTTAGTGTCGGGTGCAGTGAAGTTTATGTCACGAATCCTGGCATACTCCACCTCCTTCATTGAAGGAGTTGACCATTGGCACGGCAATGAAGTGCTTCCTGTGTTCTGAATCAGCTGCGTTCTAGAATACAGGCTGAACAACAGTGCAGCAACGTGAGAACAAGACTCACCAAGACCAGCCATGCAGGTGCAGTGTGCACAAATCACGCTACCGTCGTTTTGCGCAGCAATCCAGGGTTGCAGATGGGTGCCGGAAACTGACTGGGAATGGCGGACTTTGGCGATGACAAACTTGCTGTCACATGTGTCAGATTCGGACGCTGGAAACGCACGAACATCGCCGACCCAGCCACTGACAAGGTATTTGTAGGCTTCCAAGCTCTTGTAGGCCTTGAGCTGCTCCTTGGTGTAGGGGCTGGGCGCGTTGACCAAGAAATTGTAAATATCGGGATAGTCCACAAGTGGAAATTTATCTTCCTCTAAAAAAATACTTCTGGGCAGGTAAGGATCACTCGAGTCTGGTGTAACGCGCTCGAGCTTTTCACGGTACCGGCATTTGCTGGAGTCATCTAACTCGTCATACACTTTTGAAAACTTGGGAGAAGTCATGGCCACTGATTCAGCGTTCGTACAATAGTCCTTTGTAAAGAACAGAAGAGGAACGTAACAGCGATACAGGAAATTTCCTTCGTGAAATTATTCCAGGCACATGTACTTCTTTTGAACTTTTCATCTCTTTTGCCACCCCTGCGGAGCGCGGCCGCTTTGGCCGCCTACACACCGCCTGCACGTGATCCTTTCGCATAACCTCTATATAAGTGGTGCTTTTCAGGCACAATCTTCCTCAGCCTACTCAAGCTCAACTGATGATGGGTGAATTCCCCGAAACACTGTGTATTGAGCAGGGAGTGGTGCTTTCTTACAGGTTTGCCGAGCGGAAGGTGCGACATGCTCCTCGTGTGCTCCGGATGGCAGTCGTGAGTCAGTCAAGTGTCAAGTTCGGCAAGAAGCGGGAACTCCTCGTTGGAGCAACCAACTTCATGACTATTACCGCCGAAGTCGCAACTTCAAGTCTAAGTTCGTATTGTTGTCCCTCGCGCGGACGTGCGACCAGTTGTTGGAGGTGACAGCGTTGTGAATAGCTATACTGGCTCTCAACGTCTGTTTAGCACAACTCCATGAGCGACTCTGACTCACGCTGCTACCTGGGGCCTCACGAGGTGTTTGTCGCGCTGGAAACAAAGCGTCTCTGTAAGTTTGTATCCCTGGTGATGGTTTGGCCTGGAGAGCAGTATATAAGTGGTGCTTTTCAGGCACAATCTTCCTCAGCCTACTCAAGCTCAACTGATGATGGGTGAATTCCCCGAAACACTGTGTATTGAGCAGGGAGTGGTGCTTTCTTACAGGTTTGCCGAGCGGAAGGTGCGACGTGCTCCTCGTGTGCTCCGGATGGCAGTCGTGAGTCAGTCAAGTGTCAAGTTCGGCAAGAAGCGTGTACTCCTCGTTGGAGCAACCAACTTCATGACTATTACCACCGAAGTCGCAACTTCAAGTCTAAGTTCAAACTAGTAAGCTAACGATAAACTAGTTACACTGAGACAATTCGACTGGCACAAATTACAACAAAATCACATGCAAAAAGTCCTTTCACTTTTACTACTGCTCGTTGTGTGACAACCACCATCATCAGTGTGCGCATTGCGCCTGGTTTGGTGCATGCCTGGTGGAATATGACATAGCGGCTGATGCAGTGGGCACGTCAGGTAACACCTAACGCATTGAAAATGACTCAACTATGACTTGGTTCGATTGCAACAAACCTAATGATAGTGGTACCGAAACATTCGGGTAACCGGAGTAAGTGCCAATTGATATTTTTGGCTCCAGTCAGTCAAGTGATTCAATTGCAATACAATTATATACGTACGGTGGAACTCACTTAGTACGTACCCGGGTAAGACGTACACCTGCATAACACGGTCCTCTTTTGTCGCACGGATTTTCCTCCCATAAGCGCATATTCAGATGTGTACGGATACCTTCTGTTCATGTGATTCATTGTCGCTGTGTTACTGTATGCAGATCTCACTCAGCTCTGCTCTCCGAGCATTCTGCTTCCAACACGACTTCCCGAAAGGTATGTATGGTGGCTAATAAATAATGCGAGAGTCTTTACAGATTCCAGTGCTCTCATGCCTTTTGCAAGTTCCGTTTGTAAGTCAAATGGAACATGGTTTGTGGTCAATACTTCAGCAGTAGTGGTGCGAGAATATTCGGGTGTCAAATTGCTCGGAATTGATGTATGATAACGGAGAATATACCAACATGTGAATCACTTGGAGATATGGTTTGCCAGGTTCTGTTCACACTCACTAGGCTAGACCCTCTCGAGTATTGTACAACAGTTTTGGCCCAGGAGTGGTAAAGGGCACGGGGCAAGCTATGTCGGGACCTGCTGTAAAGTCCGCCATACACGAGCTGTACGTCTTATCGGATGGGATATACCCCTGATATTGCTGATAATGAATGGCCCAGTTTCATTGTACTGCTGTCCGCGATATTATATCCTTAGTGGCATTGTTAACTTCTCATTGCTTGTGGGGACGCATGGATCATACGTCCATCCAACACCTGCCAATCGGAACCCACCGACAACGCTGTCGGTTGGGTTGGACCACAATCGGTTGGTTTTTGAGTCCAAGATGCCACCTAGGTAGCACAAAGCATTGCTAATCTGATTTTAAATTAGCTGCGCAAATCCTGGCATACTGCCCGTAAATGCATCTAACTCCCAGGGTACTTATGAGTTTTTAGGTCTATGTGGTACTTGTGTCGCATTGGCAGCCACTGTTCCGTTCTGTATTTTCTGGTCTATGTGTCGTTGAATCTCCACAGAAAATGTGCTCGCGCATTAGGAGGTGAAAGATGCACCTGCAGGAGAATACATGCTTAAGAGAAGGCAGAAACATGCCCGGATCCACCAGAACTAGTGCTGGCAAGTCAACAGAGGCGAGTACTGATAATGTTCCAGATTGTGGTAGGATCACATAAGCAAAATTGACACTGGGAGGCACGGCGGTGGGTCAGCTCATGGCCAGCGCCAGCTCCAGTGGATATCACGTGCATCCAGTTCTAGTACTATAGTATGACTGCTACAAAGTAGTGCGGCCCAAATAGAACTCGGGTCAGGTGCCGAAGAACTGGGGGGGGGGGGGGGGGGGCATGTATCAATGAATGGTAATAACTCCGGAAATCATGCTGGTGTATCGAGGGCGTGGGCCAATGAAGTGCTGGATTGATGGTGGACGACTGTACTGCAATCTTGGCCGGTCCCACTATCGCAGAGACAGCACTTCCGGGTGCAACCACCCTATCCTGCAATCTATATAATAATTATTATAAGAGATTTGTGTGAACGATTTTAGCATGATGCAAGTCAGCTTATTGTGCTGGGGGCCTGGCTACATGTCACTATAGCTTTTTATAGACTCGATCACCGCATTACGCTGCCTTGCGTTGACTTGATTGAGCACTCTTTTTGGTTAGTGTCAAAGGTATATGTAATATGTATCTGCCTTCGTGCAAAGCTCTCTTTGTGCGTGTCTTGCAGATAGCTCGCTGACTTTGATGCTTTGAGCCATTTTCAAATTGCTTTTTTTGTTCATTTCATATAGACCGTATTGCCATTTGTTTAACCTCCCGCTCTGAGCTCCACTGATGGGACCTAAAAAAGGCTGAAACAGCTGTCTGGAGATTGAGCGTCAGTATTATGGATTTAGAATACACGATCTGGGGACAGCACTAGTACTGTCTAGCTGTTTCGTCCTTTGTGGACTCATCAGCGAATCACAGAGAAATAACTCTTAACTAAGGACGAACCTCGCAGCCATGAAAATAGATAAATAATGCCTCCAAGCCAGAATTCAAGGCTACATGTGTAGGCCCGAATGTGCCTTGCCCGAGTGCTGAAACTGATAAGTCATTGAGATACGCATAGAACATCTGGCAAAGGAACTACTAAAGCCCCCACAAGCACGGTATTCTACTTCAACAAGGAAGAATTTTGAAAGCATGCACAGCCCTACATGTATAATGTTGGTATAGACTATAGGTAAGCCTTGTTTGATAAATTAACATGACAAGGCGGGGGACGCACTGTGTTAAAAAACAGTGCTCCTGATACACTAGTATGTCCTCGGCTTTGTGACATGCTGTCAACTTAACACATACAACGTTGCATGCAAAACGGCTGCAGCCTCGAAGTACGGAGTGCTATTTTGGAAAATGCTAGATATACAGCCTGTACAGGCCCGGAGGAAGGAGTTGGGGAGTGGTCCGGCCAACCTTTGAGGGGGGTGCGGGGATCTCCCCCGGGAGAAATATTTAAAATTTACGTGAAATAGAGCGAATTTGGGCATCTCTAAGGCTCCAGAAAATGCAGAAAATTATGGTACTTCAAAGTAAAAGAACACAAACACAACTTTTTATCCATATCAGCCATACAGTGCCGGTCACGGAGTCCTGAGCTACTTCGAAGCACATCACACGTCGGCAGTACAGTCGAGTCATGTACCTCTGGATTTTTTACACCGGTTTTGCACGAATCACATGGACCATCCAGCTGGGAAAGTGGTCCGGCCATGGCCGGACCAGCCTGACCGGTTCCGCCGGCCCTGCTGTACTTATACAGGTGTTCTATCAACTAGTGCCATTATGACAACGGTAGCTGAATGATACATGTACATAAACCCGGGGTCATCATTTCAAGAACCTCTGGGTCTAAGCCCGAAGTAACATTCAACTACATGACTGTATACACCATCATGTATACACCATCTTCGTAGTGACTGAGTCTACCCCTCACCCACTACTGCCACTGTGACCACAATTGCGCACAAACAGAGGACCTTAGAGGACCTACTTCTAACTACAGTGCTGGCCAAAGAAATCCAACCTTATGAATAAAATTGCACCGGGCGTTATGCAGCCCTAGTAGTAAACATACTGGACCGGTCTGTGCTCTCGAACGCGGCGCTACTTCATTAACGAGGTTGGATTTCTCTGGCCAGCACTGTACAAAATACACACATGCACACACAACACTGCTAGGCTTTCCATCACCACACAAGGTTTTGAAACCGAAGAGTGGCAAAATTCAGGGCCAGACTAGAAAATCTGGGGAGACCTGATGGTTTTTTAAAGCAAAACACAGAAACACTCTGCAGCCTCACAGCCTCCGGCAGGTTTTCCCGAGCGCACAAAATTAAAAGTTGTTGAGGCACCACGAATACAGTCGGGCGTCACAGAACGTGGGACCCAGGAATGTACGTGTATACCTCTAGGTACACCACAGCCAATAACGTTTAAAAAAGAAACGCAGTGTCAATAGATTCGAGTCTCTGCTTTTCTGGAATACAGATTCTGCTACACACGTGTTGCTCACTATCCAGTGGGATGTGCATCTAAGAAAGTGGTACAAGAAGTCAAGGAACTAAGCCTAAGGCCAGATTGCTGAAAGGTTTTGTATAACTGACGAGCCTGACCCCTTGGAAACAACAGCCGTGGATGCGTGGCTCTACTGTAATAAATGTACAGGTACACAAACAATTTGAATGCAGAAATAACAACAACAAACAGGGAGAGGTGTAGGAAAATATACTCGGCCCCTAGTGAATTTGCTTGTGTATTAGCTTGAAAACTTTGGGTACACTTGTTGAGAGACCTAACTGCATGCAGCTAAAATATGGAGTGCCGTTGTCACCGACGACTTTTCCAGTAAAGTTGCGGCTAACATCTTCTCAGGTTTTCCCGGGTCTTCGCTAAGGCCGTAAGGGTGAATGATATCATGTGCGTCTTCTATTGCTGATGTCGCTACACTCGATGGTGGTGCTGATGTACTGATTGTGGTGGAAGATATTGAGATGCCGTATGTCTCGAACCTTTTCGCCAAGTCTCCGCGGCCATCGCGCAAGAGGGTCGGGAGCACCACAACTGCAACCCCACAGATCCAAGGATCGATTCTCGGACAAAACATTCTTCAGATTGCCAAAGGTCCCCAGTGCTTGGCAATACTGGCCTGTACAGCATGAACACACCACACATACGCCCACACACCATGTACCATGTAAACGCCCGTTGCAGGAGAAGCACGCAAATCTGCAAATGAATTGGATGTGCACCCACAGATTTTCTCGTATAGGAACAATAGCTGATCTGAATCTGAATAAAACAGATCAAGACTAGTGCCAGATAACAGTCTAATCCGCACAAGGCAACTGGCGCAGCCATGTGAATCTCGAGCAAAATGGACAAACATGTCCCCAATTATCAGCAAACGGGTGTGCGTTACAGGATTGGCCTGGCAACTTCAAACAGGCACAATCCACTAACGTGGTGCCCCGTCAACTTCAACGGGAACACACCGATACAAACACAGCCCCACAACAGCAAAACGGGAACGCCGTTACAAATATGGTGCCCTGGCAACTTAACGGGAACGCACCAACACAAGCTGGCCTGGCACCTTCAAACAGGCACAACTGACAAAACACGGCATCCGGCAACAGCAAATGGGTAGGTACACCGTTACAAGAACAGTCCATCGCACCAAAATGCTGCTGCCACAACATTATAGCAGCAGCACGCCAGACATGCATACATGGCATTCCCAAAAGCAGATACCTGGAGTCAAATTCATCCATCACACTGTTTGTTAGGGCTGAATTTTCCAGTGACAATAGGAAATCCCGCCTAAGGCTCATGTGATGAGATCTGTACACCAACTATAGTCACAGAATCAATGCACATTAGTAGAGCATAAGAACTCACTTGCGCTCATACCCTGTCACGTAGAGATGCTACTCTACGTGCACTGTTCCGATGTCCATTGGGGTGGTATGCCGGCCACTTGCCAGATGTAGAGCTTTTAAGCCGTACTTTGCCACCGTCTGCTTGCCGTATCACCACCTCACTTGCAACTCTGGATTCCAGGACCGTCGCTCCAACAATGGGCATGGAGCGGGAGCTAACCTGATAACAGTTGAGAGCGTGACAGAGTATTCTTATTTAAATAAGGCCGAGTAAGGTGGATCCCTTTGGCAAAAGTGAACACAGGCTTGGTGCTACAGGCATGGGCTGTCATGTACCGGAATAGCCAATACCGGGCATGTTTCGTCGACAGTAGATGGAACTGCGACGGCTCCACCGTATATGGCCGCGTCTTAGTGACCTTCAGGCGCAACGTGACCAAGTCAGGTGCGAGACTCCCAGCCTCCCACACAAATACTCTTTGGCTGTCAAACGAGTGAATACTAGTAGATGATGCTAAATACTCGCTGGCAAACAATAAGCCATACAAGGCCAGTAGTATACTTACCCACAGCATAGCCTGATCTACAATATGACTGATTGGATCGTTGTAAGTATTGCCGAAAATGGATTAAGTCGTCCACTAAAAGCTCTTTGAAACTCGGATGTTGAGCCAATATGGCAATAATAAAATTAATGTAGAAAGGAAAAGGACGTATGGATATGAGTGTAGAGTAACTGTCACTATATACTAAATACAGTCAGAAAGTGCAACAACCAGGCACTAAAACATTTGACGACCTGACTCCTGGCTTCAACACATCTCCGTAGTGTTAAGGAGAGACCAAAGAGGGAAAGGTAATACTGGTTTCGTCATCGTCCAGTAACAATCACCATTTCTTGTTCTTGTGGGACTGTAGCTTCAACTACTAGCTTGTGCTCATTTTCGTTGCGCTTACCTTCCCCTCTTTGGTCTCTCCTTTTAACCTTGAACCTTCCAAGTTGGAAGGCTGTTGGTTAGCGCTACGGAGATGTGTTGAAGCTAGGAGTCAGGTCGTCGAATGTCTCAGCACTCTGTCAGTTTTGTGCCTAGTTGTTGCATTTTTTTTACCGTAGTAGCTAGTTACAGTGGTGGACAGTTACTCTTAACTCGTATCCATATGTCCTTTTCCTTTCTAATAAAAGCTCTATCCGCAAATATGCCGAGGCGGCTTGCCGTATCTCCCTCTATGCCATGCAACACAACTGTTGAGCGAGCAGCTTTTAGGCCAGCCCCATTGCACAACAGGTAATAGGCTACTAATAGCATAACGCAGCTAGGTAAACACAAATCGATGAAAGAGGCAGACTTCTTAGAACAAAGAGACTAGTTGTGAAGGACACAACATTTTCAGCAGTCAGCAGTAGGAGAAATTGCTCTTAATTATGCAGCAATACTAGGCTTACACGTTTGTGTCATGCGTTCTGAGACGGAGTCCTTGACTAGCTCGTCACTGGCCGCACTCAGAGCAGCAGTCGTCACTACACATGGGTTGGGAAGCAATGGACAAAATTAACACTTGCCATGCACACATGCACTGCTTACCAGCTAAGTTAATATGACATACTGTACTGCAGCAAGCAAGGAACTGGCAATACCTGCACCAGGCCTATCTACTGTGACCCATGCCATTGTGAATGAGAAGAGGCAGCATTTGACAGTATGAGCGGTGTGATGAACGGGAATGCATAATACAAGCCAGTCGAGCATTGGTACATGTACTTACGGACGCAAGTTGGCTGCACTACGCTCCACTGGCCGTTGATTTCACAAGTACACACGGCCGAGCCCATAAGGACATAGGGAGATGTGCACACAAACGTGGTCGTGTTGCTGAACATCAAGCCGTTCACGG